ACATTCTGCCTTAAAGGCTTTGTAATTCCCTTGAGTATTCTCAATGCCTATTTTAACAGASCAAACATCAATGATGGATATTCAGKGTCTTGTTTTTCCTCGTGGCCTTTCAGTGCACACGAAGTGCATCCTGTTAGCCTTTGTTAACTTCCTCGAGATATTTTTTTTGTATGTTTTGAGAGATAACCAGCATGACCAGGCCCTGTTTAATGCATCATTCATAGGTGAGGCTTGTCTGTGCCTGCTTTTCTGCAGTGATGCTGTGTTTTGCCCCCAGGGTACCTGATCATGACCGATGACTGGTTCTCCGAGTACGTGTACGAGGTGGTGGTGGACAAGAAGCACGTGCCCGAGGAGATCCTGGCCGTGATGCAGCAGGAGCCCATTGTTCTGCCAGCCTGGGACCCCATGGGGGCTTTGGCCAAGTGAAGCACAGARCATTTGGCTCCTCGTGGTCATCAGAAGTAGCTGCAATAGAGAATTCCAGTGGTCGGAAGCCATAGCCAAACRATAACGTGACCGAGCCCTCGGCTGGTCCCTATTCCTGAAATGTAAGTTAAGGATCCTTGGGAAATAGCGCTTCACTGATCCAAGCTCTCAGACAGGCTACTCCAAAACTCAAAAGGGAAAAGGAAAAAAAAAAMMCAAACCTCAGAATGAAAGCATATGATAAGTGCTGTCAATGGCAGATTGATTTTACCTTAAATTTTTAATGCGAATCAGCATAGTAATGTAGTAAAATTATTTTGATCGGTGTTTTCCCTAGAAAAATGGGCATTAAGGGCCCTTTAGAATTAATAGTTAGATGATTGTTAGAGCAAGCATATTGAGATAATTAACTAATTATGATCTGACTTGTCCTATAAAAGAACTCCCAAAAATATTTTATATATTTACATTTTTAGTTTTGCTGAAGTTTTGGAGGGGACATATKAATTGAAACTGCTGAAAATGACCTTTAGAAAATTTTCTCTTCCAGCAGAATTGGGGAAGGGGGACTGTTTCCTTGAGGKGTCCAGTCCCACTTGGTTTTATTCTTCCATTATTGAGCTGGGACTGGATAATCCCCCCAAGACCCAGTGCTATGTCTGTGTGCACAGGAGCGCTATTTTTCAGTTCTTTAAGCAAGAACAACCATAAATATGTTCACAGGTGGAGTTAGTGTCATGCTCAACAGAAAAACCAAYGTTTTAATTGCTGCATTTTATTTGGTTGTTTTAAAAAAACAAAGATGGTGCTATGAAGCTTTTGAATAAACACTTTCTAAAGTGACTGGGGCAGTTCTGGTTTCTTTTCTGGAAGAGAAGGATGGAACCAATGGAATGGGAAGATGTTGGTGACCTGCAGTGAGGGTGTGGTGCCTCTGTTACAAACCTTTCACAAGAGGCTGTGGGAATGTCAGGAATGGCCCTGGTGGGGCTGAGCCTCCTTTGGGCAGGGGGGTGGACCAGGTGATCCTCCAGGGACCCTTTTGGGGTCTCATGCAGAGTGTCCAGCTCACGCTGTCACTGGAGTTGAGGGCAAGCAAACAATTCTTGCTCTCCCTGGTGGCTCTGACACAGAGCCAGGTCTCTTGGAAAGCTCTGTTACACACAATATTTTGGTTATGACTAATGCATGTGTTGTTTTGGGGGCTTTTTCCTCTTCCAAAAGGTCACTAATTTTAGTCCTTCAAGTTCTTTCTACTTATGACTTTAAYACCAGTTCTTCTGTTTCCTCTGTGCTCTAGCAGCCAAGGAGAATTAACTTTTTCTCTAGACTTTAACTGGATTTTTTTTTTTTTTGCTGGTGGTAGCACTGATGAAGATTGAGTTTGCTAAACTAAAAACTGATTCCAAGCCAGTTTTTGTTAGTTTCAGTATTTAAAAGTATTGTCCAGCAGGTGCTTATCTCCCCAGTTCGTGCCCAGATATTTCCCTGTACAGTTTATACAATAATAATGTGTTTTTTTTTCCTTTCCTTCAAATAAGCACAGAAAATCCACATGGCTAAAACACATTATGGGGAACTAAGCCATTCTGGCAGCAACACTTCTGCCTTCATGCCCTGCAATTTTTAAAGTTCTTTCCAAGCTGGAATTGGGAAGGGGAGGGGGAATGCASATGCCAAGGTGAGAGCTGTGGTTTTTCCACTGTGAGGATTCTGAGTTTCAACAAAGCTGAAGTTGTGAGCTTTGTGCTGGTGCCACCAAATCAAGKTTGGTGCTACCTTGGGTTGGATTTTCCTCTGCCTGTGGGAGAAGAGCCATGGGARCATCGGTAAGGATTGGTACCTGCAGGTTCTTGCAATCCATCTCCTGCTCTCTGTCACCTCCCAGGTGTGTGGGGGACASTTCACAGCCCAGGGATTGTTCCCAGTGAGTTGTTCCAGCATTTCTCCAGAGTGTGTGATGGAGGAACAGGCCACTTAACCCCTGGCAGCTCATAGGAAATGGTTCAGAGATGATAAAAAATTAAACTCTTTCCAAGGGCTGGAATGGAAATCATGTGGGAATAAGCCTGGCTTGCTGCAGGTTGTCACTCAGCAAAGAAGGCTCTGTCTTATGAACTGTAAATCCAAACCACGACAAAATTAACACACAACTGCTAAAAAGATGCTGTGGTTAGAATAAAAAAATGGTTTATGCCCACTATTTCAATGCTGATTTCTCCCTTAGTTAATATATAAATATATATATATGTATTTCCTTTGCAAGGCCTTAACTTTTGGATTCTTGAGAAACCAGTCAAATAATTTCCCAGTTTGTCAACAAAACCATGTAAGAACTCACAGTTCCCCTGACAGGTGGTAAATATTGACAGATAATGTTATGAAAGTCAACTGTTTCAGATTTAATCAAATGGCAGAAAATAACAATTCCCAATGAAGAGACTGAGGAGAGGTTAYGTGTAGTGGCAGTTTGTGGGTTCTAGGAATCACATTTCTCCATTGGAATGTGCTCTTAAAACAGTTGTAGTGGAAACAGCAAAACCTCTCCAAAACYCATCCAACTCCCAGATGTGCATCCCAGCCCTGTTATTGTGGAAAATAGCAGGGAAGGCAATCAGAATTTCTTTTGTCCCAAAGCCAATATTAATAGCTTCTAAATGTATTCTGACTGCTAACTAAGGAAAGATGGGAACAAACAAATAYTGCAGGGTTTGTTTTATTTGGAAAATTGTTCCAATCCTTTTATTGGCAGCGAATCAGAGACACTTGCAGGACTATCACTGATCTCATAGTACAGTTGGTACTACTGTTGTGAGGTCACTGAATCACGATTCCCATCCTTGTGCTGCAGCTTCTTTGTCTTGTGTAAAAGTCCATTTTCTTCCTCATTTTTTCTTCCCCTAAATCATCAGGATTTTCCCCACCAATGCACAGAAGATTTCATGAGATTCTGGAACTGGCTGAGAACAGCACCTGAAAGTTTTTTGCTTGTGAGATAAATAAGGTGTCATGAAGTTGAGGGTTTTGCCTGAAATCTCCAGTCTGTTATTTCTATTATTYCCCAAAGGCTCCAGACTGTTTGGCAAGAAATTAAAAACAACCAAAAAAAAAAAAACCCAACAAAACAAAACCAAAACCCAACAACTGCTGTGGAAGACATTAATGAAAAAAACAACTGAACAAAAAGGTCAGGATGAGGCATAGAAGAACCTCCTTTAAGAAGAGGCTGAGATGGAGAAAAACCTCAGGCAAAGGTCACAATSCCTCTAAAACTGTTAAAAACCCAAGATATAATTATGTAAAGAGTAGAGGTACTCTCAGTAGARAGAATTTATTTCTTGCAAGAGGGTMKAAAAAGTGAGTTTGGATAATCCCTCCCAGTTTCCCAGCAGCAGTGAGCTGGAAATCTGTGTGGAATGGGAAAATGCAGATTCCTTTTGCTGTCCATCCTCCCAGGAAAACAAAATCCTGCTCTGCAGAGCACAGGGTCTGACCCACAGCTGGATATTCACACATTAAAACATTGGGCTTGGACCTCCAGAAAGGTTTAGGGAATGGGGCATGACAGAATCTGTGCTTGCAAACCCTCTCAAATAGGGCTGTGGAGGAATGATGTGCAAGGACACAAATTTGTGGGGGTTTTCCTGTCTGTGGTGAAGGGGAAGTTACCATGTCCCAGTTCTGATTATTTTGGAAAGCAGGACACAGAAGGGAAACCCAGCACGGCAGACAGGAGGTAAATACTGCTATTTGCTATGAATTTCTAAAGAAAATTAATGAAAAAAGCWCAATTTGACTAAACAACCTTAACCCAGTGCCCAGGGGAGTAAATGGGGAAAAAAATGATTTTAAAACGTGTYCCTCGTGTGTGTGGCTGCAATGCCTGAGCTCTCCTTGAGATGGTGCAGGTGCCTCGCCCTGCCCGGCTGCTGCTCTGTAGGGACCAGGGACACCAGAGGAAAATGCAAATTACAGCCCTCAGCTCTTCAGCTCGCAGTTTATTTTCTTTTCAATTGTTTGGAACAATTCTTTGAAAACGGGTGCTGCTTACAGCAAAGCTGCTGCTGCTCAATCAGCTGCTCTTATCTGCCCCTACCCTGCTTTTCCACTCTTTTTTTTTTTCCCTAAATCTGCCACCTAAACTATGGCATTGACCTGCGATTTATGACTTTTTATAAACAAGTTGTGAAGTGCAGGAATGAAAAAATTCTGGATGAAAAACACCGGAGAAAAAAAATAAGTCAGAAGTGGGGTGAGGTATTTGGAGTAGTAGTTAGGAAGAAAGGAAATTACTTGTTGAGCTTATTGAGGCAGCAGAACGCCCGTAAAGAATTTGTGCTTCAAGCTTTAAAATAAAACTAAACCTTATTTTTTTATTAAAATAACACAGATATCCGGCAATAGAAATTATTCCTTCCAAGCATTTTTATTGTGGCAATCCCCCAGTCTTTCCTATCCTCCTGTAATCTCCTATAAATTTGTGATTCCCTGACTCGCTCCAAACTTTGTTGTGTCCGTCCTCATCCCCATCCTGTTATTTACAGCTGTAACAGCACCCAGAAAAAANCAGGCAAATGTAGCCACCCACCTCTAGGAGGAAAACGGAGCTGCAGCCCTGGTGAAACATAAAGTTTATTTGACTAAAGTGACGCAAAAAATTCTTAAAGAGCTCTTTGGCAGCAGATTATCTGGAAATCAGACCATGTGAGGGGGGCTGGTGTACAAAAAGCTCCCCGGGATGCTGAGTTGCCCGCAGGCTGCGGTAAATGTGGGTGAAGGGGACTCGAGCTTGGATCACCCCAAGGGAAACGCTTCGGATCGACCCCAAATGCAGGTATTCGATAATTTTGTCTTTAGCACAGCGATGTCTGGAGGGTTTTGATGAAATTCAGACAGGCTCAGGGACAGCTGCTSCTCAGAGCTGACCCCCTGCAGCAGCAGGCACTGGAGTTTCATTAACTTTCCCTCCTCGTTGCCTCTTTCCACTTGGGTTATAAAATGTGGAATACTGATGACAGGCTAAAATCTGTACTCTAGGTTTTGTTTGTTTTTAAATCAGCTTGAAGGTCTCTGACAATTTCTAAAGCTCTGGGGGCCAAAAAGATACATTGATTTCAGTTTTAGTTTTCTTTGTTTTTTTTAAAACTTTTAGTGCCTTTATTTTCTGTTGCTACATGCTCTACTCTGTCATGTTCAGGCACTTGTCCAGCAGTTATGAATGTTGGGAGACAAATGTCTGTAGCAGAACATGTTCTGACAATCTAAAATTAAGTGTTTTGGCTCCATATAACAGCATTGCAGATGTAAAGTTATTTGCTTACAAAAAAAGCACTAAACTATAAGAAAAAAATTAAGAAAAACAGCAGAATCTGAAGGAAAAAAAATAAAAAAATAGGCAATTTAAGCAGTTATTTATTTTGAAATGGTGAAGTGAGCTTTATGAACCATATTAAGCTATATTTTAAAAGGTAAATGATTCCAGCACAGTAAATTATTGAACTCAATGGGACAGATTTATTGCAAGTAATAAATCTGAAGAGCATGTCCTATGTATTTATAGTCAATCATGTTTACYGAAACCAACTGGCTTGCTGGGTTAGTTTGCTAAGAAATGTGGAGTTTAATTAAGGAATGCARTGTAACTGAATATAGAAATAGGCAGGGAAAACATGTTTTGATATGTTAAGAAAGCCTGGGGGAAAAGGGATCATGCATTTAATGGATTTGGATTCTTGCAAATGTTGTGGCATTTTTTTTCATGTGGGTTGCCAGACATTTACCAGGGAAGGACTCGAACACTTGGGCTGCATCTTCTGGTGATTTTTTGATGGAGAATTGACCATAATTTTCTTGGGGAATACTTTGCAAACTTCTCATGTTATTGTGCCTGTTTCCTAATTGGACAGGGTGTGATGAATTTCAGATGGTTAAATTGAGAAAAACTGCCCCCAAACTGGAATTTAATAAACCCCTGAATTATTCCCTCACATGGAAATGTGCAATGTGTTTAAGCTCTTTCCTGCTTCCCTCCATGGAAATATAAACTGCTCAGTTTTCATTAGTAACARAGCCTAAAGAAATATTAATTCTGTGTCCTGAGCTCCTTTCTGATGCTCAAATTTGAAATATTTTCCCAACCTTCATGTTTGCAGCTCTGTATCTTACAGAACTGACAGAGCACAATGAACCCTGCCTGTGGGACAAATAAAGAGTTTYATAAAGAACTTAGGTAGCCTGAATTAAAGGCTGTAATTTGGACACAGCCATTAACAAATCTCCTTCAGACAAACATCACCTGTTACTAAGGGATGGTGCTCCATTTATTCAGTGATGTTTGCTGTGTTATGGCTCTTCCTTCAAGTTTATATAAATAATTTGAGGAAGAATACAAAAGCAATATCATTCCCTCCAAGCTTATCTGTTTCCTTGCACTACACACAGACACTCTCCAGCCAAATTAAAAAAAAAAAAAAAAAAAAAAAAAAAAAAAAAAAAAAAAAATGCATTTCCCCTCCTCCCTGTTCTTTAAATGACTGACACCAATTTGGCAGCGTTCCCACTACAGCACAGTGTCAGTCCTCTGAACAGAATTCTGAAGGTAAAAATCTCCCTTTCCTGATGACTTTTAAATTTCAGACCAAAACAGGGACAAGATTACGACGTCAAACTCCCAGTGCAAGTTATTATTTCCCCCAAACTGCTGCTTTCAGAAGCACTTTTCCCATCTWAYCCACATTCAGCCTTGTCTGGGAATACAGGAGTTAACTGGAGAGGGCCCTCTCCTTGTGCCACTCTTTGGGAAGAGCTTTTTCCCCTCCCAGGAGGGTCATTGTCTCACCAGCAGGACTTGCTGAGTCCACTCTGCTTTAGCAGGAATGTGAGAGCCCTTGGARCCCTGCAAATATTCACATAATTCCCAAATATTCCATTTTGTCACCTGCACGCTGCAAGTGTCCTTTTAAATATTCCCAGGTTACAGTGCTGTGTCAGTAATGTTTAAAACTACTGGACTATTAATTTCAACAGGTTTTGATCACTCTTTATCAAAATTCAATTTTKATTCTCTTTAACTAGAGAAGAATATCTAAACAAGAACCCCCAAAAAACCCTGAATAAATGAATTTTCAGTTTTGGAGGGATGGTCTAGATGTCAGTTTAGATCTGCTTTACACCTAATTCCCAAGGTCTGTGGCCTCTAAATATTYATGAATATCAAAATTGAAATACAAACTGTTACACTTGCTAATGTGTAAATAGGAAAGGATATTCTAGATAATAATTTTTAAAGGAAGTTAGTAAAAGTGGACACATTCAACATCAAAAAGCGTAATTTTTTTTTTTTTTTTTTTGCATTATGAGCCTAAATATGATTTTTGTGCAATGCACAACAGGTAAAATTAATAATAATTGAGTGCAATGCAATTTAATTGGCTGGAATTTGAATTTTTTTAACAAGTCCTCACGGTATGGAGACATCTATTCTGTAACCCTTTGATTCAGGGGCTGCTCCTGAACTCTGCAAACTCAGAACAAAAATCTGAATTCTCTCTGGCTCGTGGCTCTTTTGTGGCTCCCAGGTGAGAACAGGTCCGGGCAAACAGCACATCCCGCTCCTGCCTGGGGTGAACGATTTCCATCTCATCACACAAACTCCTTGCTTGATATTTGAGATACAAGTAACGTCCTTGGAGCTTTTCCATTTACGCACAACCGCCCGTGAGAGCCAGACTGCTGTAACTTTATSCGCCTTAAACACTCGGTGATAAAAGTGAGATTTAGGTCAGTTTAACAGGGATCATCCCAGCGTTTTATTCTGWTTGTCAGCACCCTGGGCTGATTCTTCTTCTTGAGGTTCAGTGTTTAAACTCCCTGTGAAAGGCTGGGGCTGTGGGGACGGAGGAGCGGTGGGAGAAAAGGCGATACCTGAGATTTCCCGCAGGAATTTCGGAGAGTGGTGCTTCTCCAGATTCATAAAAATCAGCGCATGAAATAAGAACGTGAATTATGCGGAGTGAAATATATACAAATTAAGAAATTTAGTGACTGAATGATTTAAAATGATCCTTTGGAGCCGAGTCCTGCAGGGCAGCACAGGGGSTGGAAAAGCGCTGGGGAAAACCTCGATTTGCCTCCCTTGAAGCATCTTTGCTGCACCTCAACCCAATCGCTCCGCTCTCCCACACGCCTTAAAAATCAAATTCTCCTTTTAAAAAAGTGCCGAGAGCAGGGAAATCACTTTGTTGTTGCTCTGGGAAGATTTGTTTGCTCCGTGGCAGAGCAAAAGGCGAGGGATTCCCGCAGAGCCGCGAGAGGTCAGTGCGAGCCTCCAGAAATAACCAAAAAAACGATGCTCCATCATTTGTGCGGCAGGAGCCGGGGATKCTCCTCCAGGATTGCTCGGTGAGGCCGAAAAGCCGCTTTTCTGCATCCAGGAACACGCAGGGGTTTTACATCTGCAGTGCCCGTTCAAGCTCAGCCCCGAGTGGGGAGAGAAATAAAATAGAATTTAATTGATATTCGGCCAATGCCAGCCGCGTCGGTGGCACAGAAAACAAAATTTCTTCGATTCTCCTCGCGAGTGTTTTCAGCAAGGAGCTGTGGAGAGGCACTGCAGGGTCACTCCTCGTTTGTCACTCTTGGCTGTGGCACAGGGAGGGTGACAATCCCAGGGTTGGCACCTTCCCTGCAGGACCAGGGCTCAGAGGCACCGGAGCAAAGTCACGTCCACCCAGCGCAGATCAAAAGGAAACGAAAGCGCAGATCTCTGTCTTCTTCCCTTGTTTATCTCCCCTTTTTTCCCYTCTAATTAGGGGTGATAACGAGCCAAGGTGCGGTTATGTAAGAGCAACCTTTGCCACAGCTCGGATTGAAAACAGGCAATAAAAATGTTATTTCTGGGATTACTGCTGTCATCGTTCAAACACCTGAATTAGAAATCTATGTAGAGAAGAAGTAGAGGCTGAGATGGGAAAAATCCTTCACTATTAGGGTAATTTTCCCCTGGGTATCTTCCCAGGCATCCGAGCATATTTCCCAACCACAAAAGCTGCAGTTCTGCAGCTCTTTACACTCTTTGTAGTGGTCACAGTGCCTTCAAATATTTTGTTTCTTGATTTGTAACAAAACAAAGAAAAAAGAACATTCTCCCACTTTTTTTTTTTTTTACAGTGCAATGAAATAATCTGTAACTGCTCTGTTTTCATGTGCCAACTATGGGCCTGTGAATTCCACTGTGTAGCCGTGGCCTCCATCACTCCAGAGATTTCCCAGGACAGCTCATGAGCTGCAATTCCTTTTTCAGAAAGAAATTCAAATTTCAGCCAAAGCCCCCCAAAATTTCACATATAATTTTGCATATTTGAGGTTCAAACTACTGAAAATTCTGCATAAATATTTTAAATAATGTGATGATTTTTTTCTCCTGTGGTCTGTAGAGTGGCAGGAGAAGGAGCTTAGGACTGGATGGACAACAGTCCTGGCTGTCAGAGATCTTGGAAATCAATAATACAATCATTGACCTTCCCTCAGTAAAGAAAGCACTGAAAAAAACATGCAKAAATAAAATATTTTACAAATACAGTGAGAGTTTAAACCTCAGGTATGGCAAAATCAGCCCCACGAGATAATGCAGCCAAACCAACATCCTTTACTGCGTTCCCATTTATGGTGAGAGGGGTAAAGTCCAGAAGGGCTCAGGTTTCTTTTCCATATTCCCACCTGGTATTTACCATGYTCCACACAGGGGCAGGATTGGCTGTGGCCTTTCCTTGGATTTCTGTGTGGCCAGCAGTGGTTGTGGGATTGTTTCCATCTCCACAACCTCCTCTGGGACATTTGGAACCTTCTGGGCTCCAAAGGCAGTCAGGTTTTACAGCCCTGCAGGTAAAACAGAACCTCCTGGTGATTTTCTCTGGAACTCTGAGGATGTTTCAATCTTTGTGGGTGATTAACTGATGGCTGAAAAGGATTTGCTCCTGTAAAAATCCACATCAATGATGCACTGCTTGTGATGGAAAGGAGATTATTTGGGTAGAGACAGAATGACAGACTGAAGATTTCTGAGAGTTATAAACAGCATCTTCAAGTGACTTTTACCTTGAGAACATCCTCCTGTTTGCTCTGCAGCTYGGTAACTTTCCTTCTCTTTTTGCTTGCACTGAGAAATGTTAAGAAAAGGTTTAACAAACTTTGCAAAAGGTTGAAAGCTGGGAAAAAGTTGAGTTTTAAATTAGCAAATTCTAGAAATACGCAAATCCCTTCTCTGTTTTAATAGTGAAATAACGCTTATTTTTCTGCTATGATGTGACAGTGACAGCTACTGTGATAAAATRTTTTGAAAAGGAAAAATTGGGATGMAATTGCAATAATTCAATCTGTGGTGGCACGGTGTGGATTGTGTGACTCTTTGSCAGCTGTAAAGCAGAGTTACTGCCCTGGGGAATTTACAGCCCAGGGGATCAGCTCCTGTTCCAAGGTTTTCCTGGGTAAAGGCACCTGGGTGTTTACATTACCTGAACAAATCAGCAGAAAACAAAACATGACCTGCTGAATCACAGCTCTTTCTCTGCTCTCTTTGTTCTGAAGGAAGAGTTAATTGCGTTGTACTTACACTTCATTGCAGGATGGTTTTATTTCCCTTGGATTCTGTTTTTAGCACTTATGAAGGGTTCAGATAAGCCAGGGATCCTCCCAGTGCCCCTTTTTTTATTTTATTTTTTTTTTTTGCTGGCAGTGGGCAGGGGCACAGGAGTAGTGCCCACCACCTTTCCCAGGGCTGGAACCACGGTGTCAGCAGGTCCAAACAGAATGAAAGACGATTTTATTTGCACAGGGAGTCAGATAAAACTGGGGACAGGTTTTGTCCTTTAGACTCACATGTTTGTTCTTAATCAAAAGAATCAAACTGAAGATTTTGATCTTTTCTTCTTGTTGTTAGTGTTGACAGAGCCTCGAAAGGGTGGTGATGCAAAACCACTGAGATTTAAATACTTCTCTGAAAGTTTCATTGAAGCCTTCTACCTCTGCTGCTAAACAGAACAGACACTGTGGATTTTCTGAGGAAAGGTGGTCATGAAATGTAACTTTTACATCCATGGTTATCTCATATTTGCTTAATTAATTTTTCCCCTTCATACCGGGTGAATACAGAAATTGCCACCAGATGAGTGGATGAGTCACAGGATGGACTTAGGAAAATGAAAAGTCACGCTAAACTCTGCCCTCAGTGTGCAAACTGAGAGTCCAGCAGCGTTCAGAGGGAGAAGGAGACACCAGAAGAAGCAGGATTGTGACTGTGTGAGGTGTCCAGCAATGCACAAAGTCCAGCAGATCCTCCTCAGAGGGTGTAATCCAGGTACACCAGGTTCTGCTGTCAAAGAGGGTGATTCCTTCTTTCCTTTCTCTGGATAAAATCCCAGWTTATCTGCTCCATGATTCACGTGGCATGCTGTGATGGTTAATCACTTCTGTATTTTAATCACAGAATCTGCTGCCTGACTCGTGCAAGTTACCAGCACCAGTAAAGCCTGTAATGGATTTTCAACTCTTTTTCATTCYTTAGATGGTGCTTGTGCCTTCARTCTGATGGATTTAAGCATGGAAGAGGAATTCTAGAAGTGCTGGGAACGAAGGTGTGTGAAGACAAACCACCAGTGCTGCCGCCTGTCCRCGAGTGACCAGAACAAACCTCATAAAAAATGGAAAAAAAGGYCACAAGCAACGAGACCGAGCCGCTGACGTCCAAAAAAGATGCCTCAGACTGTAACAAAGGAGAAGATTGTAAAGAGAACGGACTTGTGGGCAGGAACCCRAAATCTGCCCTGCGGCTGGTGGAGGATGGCAGCAAAGCCCAGCCTGGCCAGGGGGAGAAAGGAGAGGCAGCCCCGATGTCCAATGGTTTTTCGGGGGTGCAGAGCTCAGTTCCCTGTGGGGCAGAGGTGGATGATGCCCAGGGCACAGCCCCAGCTGCCACCACCACCACCACCACCACCACCACGTCCACCACCTGCGGGGCAGAAGGGCAGCAGCAGCTGATGGAGCTGGAGGACAGAGAGACCTGGAGTAAAAAAATTGATTTTCTCCTCTCTGTCATTGGGTACGCGGTGGATCTGGGAAATGTGTGGAGATTTCCTTATATCTGCTACCAAAACGGAGGAGGTCAGTGCCCGTGCCTGTTCATTGCCCCTTCATGCTGAATTTGCTGGTTTGTAAATCGATTTAGTGGCTTTTAAAATATTGTACATAACAAATGGCCAGGGAGAAATTATTTACTTTTCAAGCAGACTGAAAAGCCTAAATATTGGGATAGGATAATGGCAGAAGAACTATTTAGCAAGATTTAAAAACTCAGCTTAGAGTCAGGTAGGTGCAGACCCACACCCCAAAAGGAAAGGCTCAATCCCTTTCCCAAGGGATATTTTAAAATCTGATTAAGCAACATGTCTAAACCAACCCCTGAAGAAGGCTGGGCCTTTGAYTCACTGACATAAGGGCCAGAACATAAACCTAAAATATAATCAAGATCTCAGAAAGGATTTTTGTCTCTCTGATGTAACAAATGCCTTTTACTGGAGGAATTAATAATTTTATCTGTAGCCCATCTCACAGCTGTACCTATTGCWGCCAGTGGAGTCATGGTGAATTCTACATCACAGAAATGTGAGAAATTTGGCCTGAGTGTYGATTCTTGTTCACTCTGCTAAGTAGTTACCCTTAGAAGAAATCCCACAGTAACTCAGTGGTGTGCTGGATAGGATTTTCCCTGTGGGATAAAAGGAATTTTTGTTTATGGAGTGCTGGTACTGTTGGGAGAGAAGACTGTGAAGAGTTACAATCATCTGCTTTCTCTCTTGCAGGAGCATTCCTCATTCCTTACACAATCATGGCCATCTTTGGAGGGATTCCTCTCTTCTACATGGAATTAGCACTGGGACAGTACCACAGGAAYGGGTGCATTTCCATTTGGAGAAAAATATGTCCCATATTCAAAGGTAACAAAGGGAAATGGATCTTTCTGAACAATTGGAAAGTTTTCCTATAAAGGTGAAATGTCAGGGTAAAAAGGAAGAAAATCTCATAAACCAAGTAAGGCTTGTTCTACACAAGATTTTTGGCTTTGCAAAGGAAGATTTTTGCTTTACAAAGAAAGCTTTCCTAAAAATCCATGTACACCTGCACGTGTGTGTATACTCTTGTATGCATGAATAGTATGCAATTTAAATTGATTAGATAGAGGCTGACCAAGCCTAAAAATATAAATAAAAAARGAAACTGTTSTRTATCCTCATTTAYTCTTGTTCCCAGKGSTATAGCTCTGGTCTTGTCTTTTCATTTACCGAGCACGATGCCTATTTCTAAATTTCAGAGATTTAGGGACACGTGGAAAACCCCCCTCTATGAACATGTTCTGTCTTGATTAAAGATGCTTTACTGGAATCAGAGTATTTCTGAAGTCACAAGGAATTCCAGTGCTGTAAAAACTTGGGAGGGAGTGTGTTCCTCTGATAATTACTAATGATAGTTCATTTGATAACCAACTAATTTTTTTTTTTTTTGGCCCAAAACTTGCACTGACTGACTGCAATAATTTCCTGCCTCTCCAGGGATTGGCTTTGCCATCTGCATCATCGATCTTTACGTGGCCTCCTACTACAACACCATCATGGCTTGGGCGTTTTACTACCTCATCTCGTCCTTCACGGCRGAGCTGCCCTGGACCAGCTGCACAAACCCCTGGAACACAGGAAACTGCACCAACTACTTCAGCAAGGACAATGTCAGCTGGTCCCTGCACTCCATCTCCCCTGCAGAAGAATTTTATACGTAAGTGCATGTAAGTGAGGATGGAGGTGTTTAGCCAGATTGCTGGAGCACCATGGAGCTTTTCCTCAGAGGGCAGCAGGGCTGATTGCTGGTGGTACCCTCTCAAAATCATTGTAGATATCAATAACCCTCTCAAAATCATTGTGTATATTAATAATCAATCGTATATATCAATAACCCTCTCAAAATGACTGTATTTATCAATAATCAATCATTGTATATATCAATAGCCCTCTAAAAATCATTGTATATGTCAATAACCCTCTCAAAATCATTGTGTATATCAATAATCAATCATTGTATATATCAATAACTCTCTCAAAATCATTGTAGATATCAATAACCCTCTCAAAATCATTGTAGATATCAATAACTCTCTCAAAATCATTGTGTATATTAATAATCAATCGTATATATCAATAACCCTCTCAAAATCATTGTATATATCAATAATCAATCATTGTATATATCAATAACTCTCTCAAAATCATTGTGTTTATCAATAATCAATCATTGTGTATATCAGTAAATCAAAGCTGAATTCTTGTAGGGGGATGTGAGCTTTGGGTGTCTGGGCTGTGCTCTGTGTTTTAGGATTCCAATCGCTGTCAGCCATCACYTATCATCACTGGTGTGATGTTAATATCACACTTTTAATTAAAATAAAACAAATCCAAAATGCCATGACTTTGAAGGCTGCTTATCAAGGCCTCGGGACTCCTTGTAATGCTCAGTATGGCACTGTTAATCACACATTTAATGTAAGCATTTGTTTAAAAAAATACCTGTACTGTGTTTTTCTTCCCTCYTGCAGCCGCCAGGTCCTGCAGGTGCACAGGTCCGATGGTCTGGATGACCTGGGGGGCATCAGCTGGCAACTCACCCTCTGCCTGCTGTTGATCTTCACCATCGTGTACTTCAGCATCTGGAAAGGGGTCAAAACATCTGGCAAGGTGATGCAAAAGCAGCACGAATCAGCTTGGTACTGAGAGGCAGCTCAGGGAATTATCTCGGGTTGTCCTCACCACAGGGGTTATGGGCTGTTTGGGGAGCACTTGTGCAGTCACTGCTGCTCTTATTCAACTGACAAAGGACAACAAAAAGTGACACCACTGTTCCCTGGGCAGGAGCAACCCTGCCAAGGAATGGGGACAGATTGCACACTGCCTGTTTGCTGAGCTCAGAGCAGCTCACGTGAAGATGCTGTAAATGTTACAGATATAATATGATTAACCAATTCTTATGATCCCTGTTAACTTCCTACCCGTGGCAAATGCTCTGTCCCCGTGTTCCCTCGCAGGTGGTTTGGGTGACTGCCACATTCCCTTACATCATCCTCTTCATCCTGCTGGTGAGAGGTGCAACTTTGCCTGGGGCTTGGAGAGGTGTCCTCTACTACTTGAAGCCTGACTGGCAGAAACTCCTGGCCACTGAGGTAAAAAAAAATATTATGAAAGTGTAGAGATTTGCTTTCAGCCTATCAGTGTGTGTATCAGCATAGATACATAAAGCAGGATCCAACAGATGTCTCAGCAGAGACTTAAAACCCTGACTTTTAAGGCTCTTTGCATAATTGTAAAGGATTTTAAATAGCAGAGTCCACCCTCAGTTTAGCTTGAASTAATTGCAGACTTCCCATACAGTGGGTGAACAGAGTGAGTGAWATGGTTAGAAAAACACAAGTGACCAAACACTTTTTCACCAGAAAAATATTTCAAGCTGACTGAGTGAGAAGCTGTGAGTGTTCTTAGGCTGCAGCAAAATCCTTCCTCCTACAAGAGTCACACTGAGCAAACTGAATTTATTAAACCCTAACAAGGGGTGGAGCTGCAGTTTTTTGGCTCAAGGGGACCAGTGCAGCCCTACAGCTGTCCCTGTTTAAATAGTGAAGGTTACTGGAGCAGAAACTTCCAATCTCCATCCTTCAACAGTTTTGGCAGATGAGCCCACGGACACCAACCAAACCCTGACCCAGTAACTCATCTAAGTGCCTGTGGAGGAGGAATAAATCAGTCAGGCCTGCACACACCACCAACATTTGAAAGGAAAGCAAGAATTAGGACAAACTGAGCCAACCAACAAACCCCAGGCACTCCGGTTTCTGATCCAGCCTTGAACTCTGTGGATGACAAATAATCCATCAGGCTCAAGGCTGAGCTTCCTTCACTGCCTGGGAAAGTGAGGAGGGTGATGGAAAAACCCCAAAGCAATAAATACTACAAAAACAAAGATTAAAAAAATTCCAATGTTTGCAAGTCTGCTGCTGCCCAGCTGATATGGAGAGTTCTGAATGAAGAGGAAATGAAAAGACACCGGTCCCTGATAAAGCAGCATCTCCAATAAGGAACCACATCTYGTGCAAAAGCAATAAAGGGCATTGATATTGTATTGGATGTATCTGGAGTGAGGACAGCAGATTGCAATCTGTGTGCTGGGTGATGACAGAGCTCTGTCTGGATGGTACAGGATGGCCTCACACCATGGCAGAGAATATTAGAAAGGAGTTGTAATGAACTCCATGTTTCAATCAAAAGAGAATAAATGAATGAGGACTTTCACCTTCAGAAAGAGAGCTGATATTGTACTTTAGAGCGTTACTCATTAGGGCTGTGGCCACTTTTCAAGTGCAACACGCTTTTCATAACAAGATCATCACACTTGCATCTGTCACAGCTACAACAAAGCTGAATTGAGCCCCGAGAACCASAACTGTCAAATGTATTTCCATAAATCTGGGAGAAGTCTGCTCAGTCTGGAGGACACACCACAAACACAGGACTATAAAACAGCACTCCAGAGTCTGGAGGAAGAATTGGAAGACTGCAAAATCATGGGTAGAAAGTTCTCTGTACACCAAAAAACTTGTGTTAAACTGATTACAGGCAACTCACTGAATTAATCTAAGAAGCTGTTAAAAGTGCACTAAAATTAAAGTAGATACTTTCAACTCTCACGAATCTACAATAAACATTCATATTTCAACATCTCTCTCAAGAGAGTTCCTGTTAGAGCAGGACTAGGATATAGGCAGACTGGTGAAACACCCTTTTGTAGGTCTAAATGATGTTCTGAATATGCCAAACTCATGCAAATCTGTTTCATGTCATTTTTTTCTTGGCCTTCAATGTTTTTCAGGTTTGGGTGGATGCAGCAGCTCAGATTTTTTTCTCCCTGGGACCAGGTTTTGGGGTCCTSTTGGCTTACGCCAGCTACAACAAATTCCACAACAACTGCTACCAGTGAGTTCTACCTTATTCTATAAGTAAAATAGAATTAAAAAATATAACTGTGGGTATTTATGAAAAAGAAACAGGGTGCTGGTAAAAGACTTGAATTGTCAGACCTATGTACATAGAAATTAGGCAGAAATGTAAAAGAACAGAAATCCCTACTGCAAAAACCTGCAATTTAAAGCATTCCTCCTCTATTCTGCCTGTCTTAAAAAGAGGTAATTTTTATCAATTACTGTTATAAAAAGTACAAATCTGACACAGCAAAATGGACTAAACCCSCACCAAACCACCACACTGTAATTATTTAATCTCAGTGGTCAGTTGGGAAATGATTTTATAGCATTTAGCAGAAAGGCAGTTTATAGTTGTTTCTTTGTTACCTGGAAAAAAATCTATTTCTAACTCATAAAATAAAATTCTCAATTCTTTAATATTCATATAGTAATTTCCATTCTAGGGAATTCACCAGGATACATCCAGCATTCAGTCCAGTGTCAGATTCATGTTACAGCATCTGTTTGGAGCTGAGAAGAAAAATTGGATATGGCTTGTTTGTTTTTCTCCTCTTTTTTTCAAACCTGCTGCTTGTTTTTCTCTTGCATTAGCCTAGATTTTCTAGGAGTCTAGAGTAGGCTGAGAGGTTGTAAAGAAGCTTTTCTGGCAGATGCAGATTCCCTGATGTGAGTTAGGTCTTCTGTTGCAGAGATGCTCTGGTCACCAGCGCTGTGAACTGCCTGACCAGTTTTGTGTCTGGCTTTGTCATCTTCACCGTGCTGGGCTACATGGCTGAGATGAGGAACGAAGATGTGTCAGAGGTTGCCAAAGACACGGGTAGGTTAATGCTTTACACACATCTCAAACTGCTTCCAAGACAGAATGTATTTTTAATTATCTTCTAGATTGAGAGCAGAYYGAATWATGAGGRATATTTTGTATATTATTGTGTATGSTGACTTTGTAAGGGCACTGTTATGCAATGCAGCTGAAAAAAATCAGAGCAAATGCAACATATAAAAGTCAGATTGCAGTTTCACAGATGTGGTGGTAACTGAATGTTGCAAAACAGCCTGGAGGGGGAAGTTTTCTCCTCGGAGACACCGTGCACCAGCCTGTCCTTCCCCCAGCAGTTCTGGCTAACGATGATCCCAAATCTCTGTCCCAGGGCCCAGCCTGCTCTTCATCACGTATGCAGAGGCCATTGCAAACATGCCTGCTGCCACCTTCTTCGCCATCATCTTCTTCCTCATGCTGCTCACRCTGGGACTGGACAGCACGGTGAGCACTGTGGGATCTGGGATGATTGGGGTACAGCCTTAACCCCACCACAAAACCAGAATTACAAACACTGCTCCGTCACTGAGGGGTTTGCAGCAGCTCCAGGTGCCCTCTATAAAACAGCAAGGATTTCTCAAATTTTTATCTTAAATATGTTTAAATATAATTGAATGATTTGTCACTGTYGTGCTGTGACAATTAATAAGAYGTGGAAAAACAAGMAAAGAACTTGATTCACACACTYYTGGTTGAATGCAGTCCTCCAGGCTCCTTTCTCGCTTGTAAACTTAGAAAGCATTTATGAAAATCTGGAGTTTTTCCACACAAATTGGATTTAAGGTGGGAACTGGAGATGCACTAAAAAACTGCCATGTGAGTTTTATAGATGGAGGATCAGCTCCTTAAAGCCAGGCTGAACTCAGATGGTTTCACAGTCCTGGTCCTACTGAACCACCTCCCACTTTTCCACATCCTGGTGCCTGTACCACAGGACTTTGGGGTGACAGTCCATTCCCACAGATACCTGAGGACTAAATCCCCACCTGAAAGAATTTTTAAAAGTTATGAGGAAAGACTTGTCTAAAAAACCCACAGCAGAACAAAGCACCAGTGTTTCAGTGCTATAAAACTCCTTTGAGCACTGAAACATACTTTTAAGCAGATAGCACTGCCCTCGATTTTCCAGTGATTTTTCCATGCTTTTCAGTTTGCAGGACTGGAGGGAGTGATCACTGGAGTTCTGGATGAATTCCCACACGTCTGGGGCAAACGCAGGGAATTGTTTGTCCTCGGTCTGACCATCGTTTGCTTTTTGGGGTCACTGGCAACCCTGACATTTGTGAGTATTTCACCCATCCTCAGCCTCCYTCGCTGGCTGTTTCCTGCAAATTCAAAATTTCAGTAATTTTTGAAGAGAGTTTCAAGAGATCAGATTGAATCCCCAGCCTGTTTTCTTTACACATTAGAAATCTTTTACTTGGAATAAATGTGAATAGTATAAAATGATCCTACTGCAACTCATGATGTGCTACACATCATAAAGGATGMTGCTGCTCAACTGCTGCATCACCAGACAACCAGACACATATTTTATCTGGTTTCCTTCTTGTTCCCAAAAGATCCATGTTTAAAAAGAACATGAGTAGTTACTATAATCTTCACAACGTTTAAAATGTACTTTGAATTTTTTAAAAAAAAAATTCTGGTAATGGATTTCCTGGATGTTCCTCATTGTTTCAAAGSAGAAATCATCATTAGTCAAACCAAATAGTTCCCGTGGGGCTTGTGGATTTCATTCTCACACCAAGCAATTTTTGAATAATGATTGTAATGAACACAGGGGAAAAGGAAGAAATACTTGGCTTTCCTGTCATGTTTCGCTCCACTTGCTCATTTATGTGTAACTTCCTTCTCATGTGAAGTGTTTGCTGTACGAGGATGCTGAGTTCCTCTGCAAGAGGTCTCCTCCTTTTCTACATCCCAAATGGAAAGGAAGCAAAGTAACACTTYATTTATTTGCTGTTCAGTAGCTATAATCCCTGCTGGAGAAAGAAAAAGGCATGACAGAAGGCATGCAAAAAGCCATCCTGYAAAATCCCATTTGTTCACTAAAATGCAGCAGATTGTAGATTCTCTGCATGGCATGGTGAGGGATGTCCACAGAGAGTGAGCAGATCACAGGATTTTCCTGGCAGGAACAGCCACAAAGTGACAGAACGGGGTGAATTTCCCACTTGTGAATGCTCTGCTCCAGYCAAAGGCTGACACAAACAGCAGCAGTGCAGGATCCCCTCCCTGGATCCTGGCACACTGACAATTTGATCTTTTTTCCAGGGAGGAGCATACGTGGTGAAGCTGTTTGAAGAATATGCCACGGGTCCAGCTGTCCTGACCGTGGTGTTCCTGGAAGCAGTGGCCGTGTCCTGGTTCTATGGTACTGACCAACACCCCTGACCCAACCTCCTGAGCTCCTGCAGCTCAGCACTGCCTCCTTTTCTGCAGACAAGATCACCCATGTGTCCAGAAAATGTTTACAAAAGCTCTTTACAAACTCACTGATAACTGAAACAGTGAGATTTAGTATTAATTGYTCTCTGACAAAAGTACATCTAAAAGTAACAGGAGCAATAACTCAGAATTTAATATAATTAAGAATTGTAGGAACAAAATGGTCTTTTGTGATGGATTCTGAATTTACTTGCTGAGCATAAATAAGTATTGAGCATCTACTTAGGAATAACTTAGATCTGCTGTCATCCCTCTGCTCCCACTTGTCTCCACAGGCATCACCCAGTTTTGTAACGATGTGAAAGAAATGCTGGGCTCTGCCCCAGGCTGGTACTGGCGAGTTTGCTGGGTTGCAATTAGTCCCCTCTTCCTTCTGGTGAGTTTTCTTTAGAGCTTTTTTTTTCCAGCACAACAAAATTACCACTGAACAATGCAGCTCCTTAGACTTCCAAGAGCTTCATTCCAGAATTCTCTTGTGATGTTCTTTAGCAATGATTTTTGTTAAACCAAAAAGGCTCAATTAGTGAAAAACCCAAAACAATGCTGCAAGATCTTGTTACTAAATCACGATTTTCAGGATTTTTGTAGTTGAGTTAGCTGAGTAAGTCTGGGTTCTGAATTATTCCCTTCCCTACCCTCTSCTAAACAAATTTACTTTGTTTTGTTGCTTTGTTTACCTCAGCAAAATGAAGCAATRAAAGCTGATGAAACATACTGTCAGAGGAGGAAAACCAAGATAAGTAAATACACTGTCTCAGCAACTGCTGACTGACAAGTTTAGAATATTCCACTTAAAATTTACAGCAGCTAATTACAACTGTTATAAATCTATAATTCAGAATTGGAAATAYTGTCCCAATGTTTGGCTTGGCAGTRTTATTAATAACATTTGAACATAAAGTGTTCATTTCCTGATTCAAAATTAGTTCAYGCTGTCTTTTATTCTGGCTGGCCTTAGTGGGATCAGAGCAGGTCAGYGTGGAGTTTATGAAGCACAGAATGTAGATTTAAGACCTACAGAGTAAATTCAAAACATTTGTAATGATCAAGGCATAATTAACAGACTTTCATTTTATTACCCTTAGAAAGAGAAGTCCATAAATAATTATGTCACACCACAGTAATTTTTATACTACAGTGCTCTTTGTTATCCTAAATCAGCAAAAYAAACAGAGAGGCACAGAGCTCTGGGGATGGGGTTACCAAGCAGAACTATTTGTATTCCCTGTGGAAATTAATCTAAAATAAGGAAAGCCCAGGATGCAGGATTGTCATTTCTGTATGGAAGTTTGGCTCACAATCCTGAGCTTCTGATGATAGTCTGGTAAAAACWAAGTCAGAGATCCTTCCAAGGACAGTGACAAATATTATTCCTGTAATATTCAACACAAAGTATTTGTTTGCTAAGGAATTTTTCAGTCATGAATTATATTCATGACTGAAAATGACCCAACAGCATTAACCAAGCTGGCATTTCTTCCTTTTCTCAGAGCAGTTTAGTATGCAGAGCATCTGCTTTGGGAAGCATCCTTTTGGTCTTTGTCTTCTGATTTGTCATTGATTTTTTGTTTTGTTTWAAATCCATAATAATGTAATTAAKGATTTTTTCAGTSTCAAYRTATTTTTAATCTTGAGTCCTACTCAATTTTTATTTATTTCAATGCWACACTGGAACACAGAGCTCCCCAAAATGTGTGCCACCAAAACCCACATATTCACACTTTCCCCTTCTTCTCTTTCAGTTCGTCACCTGCAGCTTTCTGTCCAGCCCTCCTGAGCTGAGGCTTTTTGATTATGATTATCCCTACTGGACCACAGTCGTGGGTTACTGCATAGGAACCTCCTCCATCATCTTCATTCCCATCTACATGGTCTATCGGTTGGTCAGCACCCCAGGAACACTGAAGGAGGTATCCTTGATGCTCTCTTGCTTTTGTTTGACTGTTAGGAAGGAGGTGATTCCCAAAAATGAGGTTTTTTTCTGGGACTTGGCTGTTCTGTTCCTGGCCAGCTGAATGTTAATTGTCTTCTACCCATTCTCACCAATCTCCTCAGGTCTTACTGATACCACTGACAAATTCTTAGAAAATGTTATATCAAGTAATTTTTTAAGGCCTGCTGAACTGAAGACTCTTTGTGAAATTCACCCCAGACACTCAAATCCCCCAGCCAAGCAAATGAGGCAGTTAAAGGCTGGTTCCCTGGGGTACATCTCTAAGAAACATGTTTTTTCTCTCCCACATTTATTAAGATTTCTCTGTCATAAATTTGTGTCAGCCAGTAATGACAATACTGGGACTTTTTCTAAGTTCAAATAAACACTGGTTCATAAAGAATGTGTTTAGTTGGCTCAGGATATTCAAGTAAATTGGCAAGTCTAAAGCATTAATAGGACATCTGCCAAGCTTTGACTCTAATTATATTACAAATAATTTTAAAATCCTGCTGTGTACTTCTATAGCACTCTACATCTTCATAGTGCTCATAGAGGCCTGAMACATTCTTTAGTAGTAGTTCAAGAGGTGTAACTCAAAGTCAAGTCATACTTTATAATAAAGCTCTTTCTGAATGGCTGTCATGTTATGTACTGTCTCTGATACTGATTTCTTTCCAACAGCGTATTTTGAAAAGCATTACTCCAGAAACAGCTACAGAAATTCCTTTCGGAGACATCCGCATGAATGCAGTATAAGCTMACCTGGTTCTGGGGGAGGGAAGAGGAGCATAAAATATCACTTTCCCCACCCTCTCCCCGCAAAGAATCACCTTTCCAGCTGAGACAACAAACGGAGTTTTCCACGGAGGTTGCATCACTGACAACATTTGGAAAGGTGATGCCTCCAAGCGATTTATCCAAGCAATTCAATGACATCAACTGTGCACTTCCAAGCAGGCTGAACTGAGAACTCCCTCTGGATCACGAGGGAAYATCCCTGCTCCAGGAGTGGCACCGAGTGCCTGCAGCAGCTCCTCCAGGACGAGAGAGGCAAGGCAGGATTAGGTGTAGACCCCCAGTCCGTGGCAGTGCTCCTGTATCTCCCTCCGTGTGATCGTTCGTACCGGGCAATGTCGTATTCGCTTCTAAGGTTCTCTAATTGCTTCAACTACATGGGAAAATGCACAAATATTTCTGATAGCCATACATTACTCGAGTAACGCAGGGGTTTATAAACCAGGAAAACAAAAATAGGAAGTTCCCTAGGTTTGTGGTGGAGTRGACAGAGGGAGAGGAAAAATGCTGAGCAACTCCGCACACCTCAGCACACACAACTGGTAGCATTGGCCTCCTTTTCATTTCCTGTTTTGTAGGTGGTTACAATTCCTATTGTTTCTTGCATAAAAAAAAAACTACAAAAGCATTTTTTGTGATGTTTTAGGCTTCACTTTCCTTYAGACCCAATCAAGCCACAGAAACTCATCATGAGTTACTTGACAAGCACTGAAGTTGCCAGCATTTACTGTATAGTTTCCATAACTAATCATTGTCCTGGCAGACCTGAAGAAACTACAGACCAACAATGATTTTTTTTTTTAATACTGATGCCAAACAATGGAATCTTAAAGATCTGCTTCTGTGCTTTACTTCCTTTTTGTTTTGTTTTTTTTTTTTTATTTTGCATCTAGCATTTGCTAGAGCCTGTGGCTTTCTCTCCCTTTCCCTAGTACAGAAGTAAAATTTAGAAGAATCCTTTTGGCTGGCTGACAAAAGCAAACTTACAGCTATCCAAAACTTCTTCAAAGATTTAGTAGCTCATATTCTAATGTGACTGCATTGGGTTTTCACACTGAAGAAGAAAATGAGATTTTTTTTTTCTTAGCAAGGAGTAGAGTTCAGCAGGATTGACTCTCAATAGAGCCATTTCTATTAAATTTCAAGGCACTGATACACACATGAACTTCCATGTACATTCTAAGCTCTTTACAYGACATGCACACACATGGTCCCCAAATGCACCGGCCCTGTCCCTTGGAGGACACAGATTCTGCTGCAGTGGAAGTGCAGATAAACCCAAGCAGGCATCATTCATGTCAAAACTTGCACTGTATTTTCATTCTGGCACGTAGATTATGAGGAAAGTAAAATAAAAAACAGATGATAAAAGTCTCTTTTGCATCCCATGGTGTACTAAGGTAACACTGCTGAACTTGCCAAGGTTCCATGTGCACCCAGAGCAGGGGCATTAAGGAACCTGCTGAGGAGTTTACCTKGGTATGAAGCACTTGCCAGGTGAGAGGAAAGCAGGGATGGTGTGTTTGCCTTCTGAAAACATTTTCAGCACCTCTGCCAAAGTTTTCCCCTTATATGCACCTGGAGAAAAGGCCTCTTCCATTTCCTCTTCTACTCTGGCTAATAACTTTTAAGTTCATTTAAGTCTCAAGCCAACTTCCAATATAAAAATAACTTAAGAGGGACAAGGACTGTTCTTTCARAACTACAGACTGCTGAACTATTTTTAAAAAGGGAATATGTTCTTCAATTGCCACTAGAAATATGTAATAGATCTGTCTTACTTGACAGATACTCCAGRGAAGTAGTTTTGTAGTTGATGCCTCTAATGTATTTGAAACCTACTTCCAAAAATTAAATTTCCATTCATTGAAAAAGCACACATGAAATATCAATGTAAGATGAATATTTGTATGTATCCAATAGCAAAGTGTGGAAWATAAAGGAATAAACCCTACCCAGTTTCTTCCCTCTTCAGACAAGTGTTCAGCTAACAAAAAAATGTGTATTTTAAGACACTGATGTAGGATAGATATCTTTGCTCTGGGTGGTTTCCAAGAGGCTTCCAAAGAAACACCACATTTTTTAGTGAATTAAGTCAGCCAGGAAGCCCTGACAGTAAGACAAGCCCTGAAACAGCTGAGACATGAGAACAATGTGCTCTGAGTCCTGAGATACTGAGAGAGAATGAAAATTATTAGAATTATTTGAAGATACAAGAAGCAATGTAGATTAAAAAGGCTTTTTCTTTTCCTGAATAATACAAAGATAAAATACATCCATGTTTTCATTCTATAAAAGCTGAACTTGAAMGGCAGTTTACTCCTCATTACTTTTTTTGTTACATGGTGTACTGGTTTGAATATTTKATTATGGTAAGTTCAGTTTTTAGTATTCCTATTTAGCTGAGTGGTTGAAATGTTGATAAACTGATTCAATTTATTTATACATTTTTTTTTTCCTTTTACATATGCATCTGAAAACATGTAAAGTAACCAATATTTATCAGGTAGCTCAGCGAGTAGCCATACATCATACACCAGTTTTGTATAAAAACTACTTATATTGGTACCAAATGAGCTGCACTGCACTTATCAAGTGTTTTGAGGCAAAAAATTCCTTCTCTTCAGCTCACCTTCCACTCATCTACCATGAGTATATCCTACCCTCTGTTCTGAACAGTGAAAAGGAAGTTATGAAACTSCTAAATTAGGACCATCTTTGCCTTTTAAAGATAATGAAACTGGAGTTTTAGCTGTACAGAACCAAGTATTCCCTCCAACTTGTACATGATGCACCTGTAYTAATTTATGCAGCTGTTTAGTTACAAGTGTTGCAAGCTGATTGTAAGTCATCAGTATGTGCCTTGTACTGTAAACTGTTATTGTAATAAATTTAATATTCATAAACCATCTGCAGACGTCTCTTGTGCCTCTCTCTTCTGGGAAGAGCAAAGATAAAAATCTCAATTCTAAGGAAAAGCAGAATACCTAGTCCAGTTTACAATGCCAACAGGGCCTCTGACAAAAAGCAGAGGATTTCCTTCAGTGTTTGAACCCTGGCCATCTGCTAAACACTTTTATTCCATTCCAACAGAAGAACCAAAGCTCATTATATTTGTTTACACARACCAGCAAAACCAAACTGCTCCACACTGGAGTATGTGCTTAATCACTTGATTAGCTGACACATAAAACTCATTCCACGCCTCTGTATAGTGGCAGCATTTGCATTTAATTTTACTTGCATTTTGTCTCCTTGCTAAGTCTGCTGAACAAATTATTAGGGAAACACCAGCCTCAGAACCCTTTTTTAAACAAGTAAGTTCACCTTACTCTAGCATAAAAGTGATAAATTTACTACAAAACAAAGTGAAAAAACAATTTTAGAAGTAAGACCACTGTCACACATTCTACTTACCTACTTTGGAAGTAACTTCGTTCTAGAACATGAACCTTTGAATAGAAGACTGACAATGTGAAATATCACTTATCAACTGTAATACCCAATGTAAAGACTCATCTACTTTATTCMATGCAACAAAATGCAGTAAAATAACCCACACATTAGATCCAATATGCATCTTACACTTTATTGAACAGTTTCTGTACATCAGGCCCCCAGACCAAAGCCAACACATAATACAAAATTCGTATCTCAATATGCATTTAGTTTACAAAACTCCACACTACATACAGAAATGTCCTAGATCATTATTCAGGCTGTTTTTCTTGCATTTTCACCCTCTTTTACACCAGTGGGCAGCCATGACTCCTTCCAAGAGCTGAGAACACCTTTCTTTCAAGCAGAGCTCATTTTTTTCTTGCATTTTCACCCTCTTTTACACCAGTGGGCAGCCGTGACTCCTTCCAAGAGCTGAGAACACCTTTCATTCAAGCAGAGCTCACTGTTTTGGCAGCTGAAAGGAGCAGAGGGACTAAATTGTTTAATACTCCCAGGTCTGTCCAAAATCTTCAGGTACCAAGGACATGGTACTGAAGGACAGGCTGGACAGTCAGCCACATTTAATATTTCAATGTACAAACAGACTAAGAGTGTGTGTCAAGAGACCTATTAATGCCTTCCAAAAGTTCCTCTCTTAAGGGACACACAATTTCTGGAAGGAAGCCAGAAATAAATAGCTAGGATAACTTTGTACAAGAATCCACAGGGCAGTGGCCTTTCCTCTTGGCTGACAGCCCAGGTGTTTGTGGGCATCCCAGGGATATCAATCCTCCTCCTTCTCAATGTAAGGTTTGGTGCTGACCCGGGCCATCTGCCGGGCCAGGTACCGGTCCCGTGCTGACATCACTGTCTCCTCGTTGCTCCTTTTGGCAAATTTGCTCATGCTCTCAGGTGCTTTCTGGGCTTGTTCTTTCTCCTCTTTGTCCCCTTCTTCTCCAGCTTTACGCTTCTGCTCAGACAAAACTCCAGAGCTGGAGCTTGCCTTCTCATCCACCTCTCTGTCTTTTCCCTTTCTCTCTTTTTCCAGATCAGTCTCTCCATCTTTTTCCAAAGATGGAGGAGTACTTCCYCTCTTCTCCCTGTATTTCTTTTCATCACTTCCATATTTCTCTCTCCTCTCCTTTGCATGATCTTCCCTTTCTCTGTATTTCTCTCCTCTCTCCTTCTCTCTGTCATTATACTTCTCTCTGTCATTATACCTGTCTTTATCATTTTTTGTTCTTTCTTTCTCTCGTTCCCTCTCTGAGCCCTTCTCCTCTCTCTCCTTTCCCCTCCTCCATTCTCTGCTATGTCCCTCCCTCTCCTTTCTTTCCTTCCCCCTTTGTTTATCATCTTGATCTTCCCTCCTCCTGTAGTGATCTTTACTAGAGTGATCCCCATGCCTATGTCGCTCTTCCCTTTCTCTTTGGTGATCCTTTTCATGGGTCCTACTTCTCTCATAATCCTTTTCCCAGTACTGTTCATCATTTCCCCTTCTGCTTGGCCTGCTCTCTCCCCTCTTTGCAGGGTGACTTGTTTGGGCTTTGGTGCGTGGCTCTTCCTCCACACTGGATGAGCTTGGTGACCTGGAATGCCTCTGGCTTTTTTTTGTGTGTTTAGCCTCCTCTTCACTGCTCACAGAGCTCCCCCTTCTTTTCTTCTTCTTCAAATCTGCTTTACTTTGCTTGTGTCTCTTGTCATCATCACTGCTATCAGTTCCCAAGTCGCTATCAGCATCTGGATTATCCTCTTTCTTAAAAGTCTTCACGTTTTGTCTTTCTGATGGGCTTTTGTTCCTCTCGTTGGGTTCATCCTGACTGTCAGGTTTTTCTTCCTTTATCCTATATTGTTTATGTTAGAGAAGAAAAACATTAAAACAYCTGAGATCTTGAACTTTTCTATAAACTGACTTCTGACCAGGACTTAAGAAAAACATGATGCTGGAAAGTCTAAGAAAGCAAAAATGTCTGTGGCTCAGGTTTCAGGAATCCAGCACAAAGTATCTGTATCTGGCTCACTGGTAAATGTGAGCTGAGGAATTCATCTAAAAGAGTTACAATGGTTAAGCATGCGCAGCCTCCATCTAAGGAGAACAACCTTGATTTATTTGATTTGATTTATTGCTGGCATGTTACAGTGTTTCCTATGTGTTTATTCCTCTATTCACATCAAATAATTATCCAGAGAAGCAGCAGGTTGTGTGTTTTGTTGACAGAGGCAGGAACATTGTTTTTTAAATGCAGTTTTTCTGAAGATCTCACTTGTGGCTAAACAGGAATTACTAACTTTTAACAGCTCAAATGTGCTTAAATGCAMAATGCTGACCCATGGAGGGGGTTATGCTTTGTCATTCTCTCCTGGCTGATGAGGAAATAGATGCTCACTCAYACAAGCCATGTCTCTTCCATTTMAYCACATGGCTYCAGGAACAGCCTGTGGGGCACTCTYSTGASTCAGCACATCACCAGTTAGATTCTATGTCTGCTGAATGCTTGAAGGCATGGAGAGCCTATCAACAATGACTAAAAATGACATTGAAAAGTTTGGTAATTTACTTAGTAATGCTACTCAAAGGTGGATCACTGTGTTCACTGTCACAAAGGATTTCTGTGTCACTGATGATCATTATTTACCACGTAACTCAATTTATCAGCTGTATAAAATAACCAATTTATCTTACCACGGTTTCAGTGCTTTCTGTCTAATTCTCCAAGTGAGAATGGAATCACAAACAGCCAGATGCTGGTTTTTATACCTGAAACCCCAGAATCACATCCTACCTGGCTTCACGGAAGCTGCATTTAGGCATCTCTTCCTCCCCCACGGTCTGGTTTAAAAGATGTCTGTAGAATCCACTGAGATCTCTCTGTTTGGTCACATCCAGGTATGCTGAGACAAAGAAAGGGAGGTTGGATTTACTGTGCCACAAACACAACACACAATTCAATTGGTAAACACCACCAAGACTGAAGTAAAAAAAAAGTAAAAATCCTGGAGATTTTCAAACTCAAAGTGAAAAAAGGCCAGACTAAATTAATCTGACCTCACAGCAGACCATGCCTGGAGCAGGAGGCTGGAACAGATGACCTTCAGAGATCCACTCCAACCTGATTTACCTTATAATCCTATGTCCTATGCTTTAAATCTACTCCTGATTCTGATCAGAATGTCTGAGGTAAGGACTGGAGASATCATTGTACCACTGGCACATGAGTCTTCCTTCAACAGCTGACCCTCCCTTAAAAATTAAAACTACCAACCCAAATAGTACTGACACACAAACAGAGGAGCTGTAACATGTACAAAGAAAACTAACAGACCAAGGTGGATCTGATTCGGGATCTGCTAATCTGGTCCTATTTGATTTAATTATCTCGAGCCTCACAGAGGGACCACCAGATGAACACACTGTAAATCATGTATAAGGCCCTACTTCTTTTTCAGGACAATTATTTCACTGTGAATCTCACCCTCGAGWGCTGATTCTCTTCTTTCTCTCTCCTCCTCCTCAGCTCTTTCTTGCAGCTTCTTCTTATAGGCTGAAGTCACAAAAGCCTCTTTGTCTGCAAACTCCCCTCCTTCCATTTCACGCTCTTTCTGAATTTTTCTTTCCATTCTTCTTTCTTGTTCCTTCTTTCTAATCTCAGCTGCTTTGAGGATATTGTGGATGTATCTGGGCTGAAGCAGGAGGAAAAAAGTTACCATGCTGTAAGGTAATTGAGGTGGCTTAGAAAACACGAAYTGAGATTGATGGAGATGTTGAATTAAGTTGGTAATGGAAGAAAATTGTCAGGAGCTACTCTAATGTGTTCTCCCTCTGATTTATAGCTATCCAAAATAAACTGCCATTCCCTTTCAGATCCYTAATGTGGCACATTTCCCAGTGCCAAGAGGTTGCTGTATTCAATCAAAACAGTCAGCCCATCTCTGACTAGGAGGATTTTTACTCTAAATGAAAATAAATGTTTTTTGATTTTTCATCCCTCTGTTGTCTGTACTGTAACAGCCTTGCCCTTCTTTACAGGAGTGGGAACCTTCTWTTTATACCCACAGAAGCTGACAAGAGCCTTCAATTGAAACAGAATGAAAATAAAAGTATCACTTGTCAGAATAATTCAGCAATGCTGAACCAGTCAGAGGTGGACATACAGGATACATTCTCAGGTATTGACCTTTTTGTCATCATTTGCAGCTAAAAGTTTGGCACTGCTTTCTTTCTTCTTCTGCTGCATTTCATCATAAATACTGTCATATTCATAAACTGTAGCATCTTCTTCTAAAGCCTTCTGAATCTCCAATTTAGTCTAAAAGAAAAAAAGAGGGAAGGAGAAGAAAACATAAAAATAATAATCACAAAATCTTTACTATCTGCAAATATTTCATTCCTATATTGTAATTTAAACAGATCTACAGTATAAATCTACCCATCAGAACACTGAGAGTAAATAAAAAACAGTCCCTTACCTGTTTCATTGCTTGTTTTTTCAATGCTTCTTTCTGAAGACTTTCCCCAACAGTTGGCTGTAGGAAGGAAGCATTGCAGAAACAAAATTAATTATGTTGACACAGAYAATATTTTTCTACTGTTCCAACAAACAACTATATCATAGTTTAATCACAGACAGGTGTAATTCAGAAAATACTCAATTCTTCCTGCATGTACATTAGAGATGTAGCAGTCACAAGCAGAGATTACTGAAAATCACATGARAAAAGAAAAACTGTATTCATATTAAAACCCAAAAATCTGAAAGGATTTGGTATTTATTTAAAGTCTGATCTGTATCATTAGTTGTGTATTTTCAGAGATAASAACATAGCTAAACAGCATGTATTTCCAATGTCACTGTTTAATTTCTCAAGATTAACACGCTAGAACAAACAATACTAATCTTTCCTAAGAAACACATCCCTACCAAAAATGTTTTCTAATCACACTGTCTTTTACAAAAAAAAGCTTTGCATTTTATTTACTTTTWCTTTTAATTAGTTTTGACCTAAACYACATATCTAKCTTATCTCAACCAATAGATAATAGTGTTTATTAAACAGATCCCCCATAATGACAGGACTTGTATCCTTGTTTAYGTAATTAAATATCTCTTAATCTTAAAGTGCAGAAATAGGAAGGAAAAATCCTTTTGCATTTTGGAAGTTTCCCAAGATTTGCAACTTTTACTAATACATGCTCTGTGTGTCATTGTAAAAAGGCAAAGAGATTCTGTAAAAATAAATAAATAATAAAATTAAAAAATGAAAACCAACTAGCAGGGAGCTYGGCAGCAAGGACTAAGATCTTCTGAAATCAAACAGAATTAGCACCATCTAAATTCAAACAGATCCCCTGAACASGAAGGCTTTTAAATTCATTTGATGTTTAAAATAAAATAATAACATGTCGTGACCCCTCTTTCTTATTCTATTAAAACTTTAACAGATGTGTCAACAAGGAAAAACACCAAGTGCTTTACCACAATTTTCTACAGGACAGACTGTAAACAGTGCAAATCTTTTTTTTTTTCACTGGTTAATTTCAAAAACAGGGGACGAGCTGTGCTGGGATGGAGTTGCATTGTACGTGACTGTGCACTCCATCTCTCTCTCCCCTCCTCAGAGGTGCCTGCATGATTTGGCAGGTGGGCAGTGCTATGTGAGCAGACACCGGCCCTGTGCTGAGCACTTACACTGGGAACAGCTAAAATCACAAATTCTCATCCATGTTTACCCAGCTTGACATATTGAGGGTCATCACTGAAGATTTCCTCTATGGGAAACCTTTACAGTGGTTTAACAGAAAGGTACCCCAACAGTGAACAATCTCCCCTGCACTATTCTAGAAAGCAGGGGCTCAGTGACAAAACAGATKCTGCAGTTACATGTGCAGAATAAGCTTTATTACATCAAAATATTTGRAATACTGCTTAGAATGTTTTCCTTGACTGCCTACACGAAATAAATGTGTTGATCTACGAAGATCAGGCAAACACTAGAGTAATACATAATCCTCATTATTGGACATATGATGGTAAAGAAATCCATCTGCCATTTCTCTAGAGTGGCAGTAAGTTTACAGAAAACAAACACCTTCCCCAATGGTTTATGGTGGACAATTTCCTGTTGTGCTGTGAGCTCTGATAGATGAGAACTTTGCGTCTTTTTGTATTGTTTTACTTATCAACTGTCCATTTATTAAAAGTCCTATAAGCTCAATCTGTCTCATACTTTTCCCTTCCCTCTAGTCAAGCCATTCTTCTGAAGCACAAAGCTTATAGTTCAATATTTTCTGGAAGCAGGAAACATTTTAACCCTATCCTCTGAAAGGACAAAGAATCCATGCAAATCAAGGAACTCTCAGAAATGAGGTTCTCCAGTCTACCACTGCTGCCAGACCATGGAAGAGAGCTTGTACACAACTGAAAAGATTACTAAAAAGAAACAAAAGCAATAATTTACCCCAATCTGCTAATATTTCTGATGGTTCTCTCCACTTCTTGCCACCTTCTCACTCTAAAATGAGCTACTTACACCCCCATGTACATGGATTTAGGACTGAATCCCTAAGGTCTATCCCTCATAGAAACCTGTATTATCCAACTGCAACCTGCACAAGAGACTCCAGTCCTCATGGAGGAGAAAAATAAAAATTGCATCAGGCAACAGATTTCTCTCAATTCACACACAAGTCATGGCTACTAGCAGAAGATCAAGAGATCATGAAAAACAAGTAATGTACACAGAATTAGCTTTCCTCAGAACACCTTTCTAGTTTCCAAAAAACAGATCAAGGGCTTCCTGAACTGGAGGATGCACCTGAACCATTGTTTGACACCAAGAGCATCTCTTAATCTGAYTAATCCATTTCTGAATCCCTTTATATTTTTGGACCATATCTTAATTACACCACTTCCTTCTGTTTAGAATAAACCAGTTACTTGGTAATTCCATAACATAACATACTGCTCGTATCATGAGAAATGGCAGTATCACCTTACTTCTCTGAATTATTCTTGATTTTACGCACATCCTCTTGAGCTACTCCTTTCCACTTCCTGCTTCTCAGAAAACTCTTTTCTAGGAGACCCTTTACTCTGCTTAATCTTTGCATGGAAACTGTTGCAGGAACTCTGGCCAGCAGCAACATTAATTACTCAGCAAATCCTTTTTAGTCATATTGCTCTATGCAAAGTTGCAAAGGGAATGGAAGGATCTGTATGCAAAACCAAAAATCTGAGCCTACAACAAGATACAGTTTTTTCTGCTTATTTTCAGCTTCTGTCTACTTAAACATTCCATTTATCTTTTAGGTGGTCACTAAAAAATCCACCAAATCCAGCTGATACATTCACAAAACTGTCCACCTTGGCTCCATAATCTCTCTCCCAAATTTAGCACCTAGTGAGGTCTAAGGACAGTTATTTTTTCAGCCACATTTTTAATCCTGTATCAACTAATCTGTTTTGAAAGATTGATATGGTACAGGAACACAATTCTGGCACAATCAAGAAAAGAAATTTTATCTGCTGTACTACAGAGATAATTTAAACTGAACTCCAAAGGTAAAATGGAAAAATGAACACCACACAGACTGACAAGTCACCTTTTCCCACTCTACACTGTATTTCAAGAAAATTTCCATCCCAGATGCTGTTTCTTATGAACTAACACAAACTAACATCCATTAATATACTTAGCCACAGGAAAAAAAAATCCAAATTCYTTCAGCAAGGGTAGAGGCAAAATCTGAGTGAAAAATGCACAGTAATGTTTAAACAAAAAGGCAACAAAAGTTTGGTATCTAAAATATAATCACAGACCRAGTCAGGTGTGCAGATTTCCCAGCACAAACTTTATTAGAGTTCAGTTAAAAATACATAATCTCCAGACATTTGAGATGTAGTTCTGACTGATAAAGTAGCAGACAGGAAATGAAACCCCTCCCAAATGCTGCTCCTTATCTTGAAAAGCTCTGAAATTATTACTGAACTAATAAAGTAATTCTGATTTTTTTAAAAATCTTCTTTGATAAAGGCAGTTATGAGATTATTACTTTTTGCTGGGTATGTACCATACTGATGAGCACAACAACTTTTAAGAGCTTTTATAACAGACTGTGACAGTGAATCTGTCAGCTTTTCTGAAAGGGAGGATACTTGAGCTGTTAAGCTAAAAGCGGGCAGACAGCATCATATATTATTTTACCAGAATTATTAGCATTCATTCTTTTGTTTCAATGTATAGATATTAAGAGAAAATGAAGAAGTGACAAAATACAAGACAGCCCCCACACTCAGGAAGGTTTCCAGATGTATCATATAATGTTTAATGACAATGGATTAAAAGAAGCATATTCCTGGCATCTGGAAAATATGGGGTCAGATCTTTAATGTAGAGAAGGACACCAAATCCCATCTAACAGAGAAAGCATTCCTGCTGTTGAGGAGAGTGGATCCACTAACATCTCCATTAGCTGTATCTAAAGGAAAGCCTCTCTCTACAGCCACAGTTGAGGGATGCACCTCTGAGGATCACAGCTAAGKGAGGAAAGAGATGGGATTTAAAACACAGTCCTGTCCTGTTTCCTATGAGCTGCACTGAGGAAGTTTCATGTTGAGGGTTGAGTGGATATCACTAGGAAGGTCCTCAGTTCTTTTATGCCCTGTAAAAAGGGAGTTCACACGCCTTTAACAGCAACACTTCGGATTCTGTAACGGAACCAGGTACACAGAGGCTGGGAATGGCTAAACTCAGGCTTTCTGTTACATAAAATTGACAGCTACTAGTTCATTAAAACAAAAATACATTTTAAAAATAACTATTTTGGTGAGCCAGAAACTGATCAAAACTATTTGATGCTTTATTAGCATTGCTTTTCCCCACCACACAAAACAACAAGCATGGAGTAAAGCTGTAGGGAAGAAAAAACATCTCTGTAACGGATTTCTGTAAGGGCCGGAGCCCAGCCCGTATCCCAGCCTGTTCCTGGACACTTCCCGTGTTCCCAGTACCTCATCCAGCTGGGATTTACACAGCACACAGTGCCCTCTACTGGGGCAGGTAGAGAGCAAATATTCTGAACATAAGAATTAAGGGAGATTATAGAAAATAACATCATCGTACATCTTCTTATGCTTTAAAACTTCAGGGTTTTACAGCTTTGCTTTTGCTCACWTTATGCACATCAGAAAATCAATTGCATCAAATTTGGATGGAATGCACTGAAGGATAAAACACACTTAACTACCACACTTTAAAGTTAATATTTGAGTGAGGCCTGTTGATTACTACTGGTCTTTCTATTTGCAGGCATTCACTAGTGACAGCCAAAAAATCTCTTTACAAGCTACAGTAAAGTCTTGCAAACAGGTTGTCACACGTGTTGAATTTCTGGAAGAGTTAACAGAAAGTAACAAACAACTCATCATTTCCATGCAATGTGTACTAAAGAAAATACAGATCATATTTCACACCCAAATCCAAAATGATGACACATATCCTAATGACTGCCAAAACCTGATGCAGACTTTAAGTGTTGGACACAAACAAATTTGCAGAATATGTGGCAAATTTCAGAAGAAAATTGTTGAACTGACCTCTTCATCTGACTCATCTGCGAATACTGAGAGCTTCTTTGAAACAAGATTTTTCTGTGGCAATTTTTTGGGCATAATAAGCCCATATCTAGAAAGAAAAAAAAAAAAAAAAAAA